TCTTGCTTTTTGAAACTATCCTAAAAATCATAAATTAATGATAAATAAATACTGAATGCACATTAAAAAGTATACACATAAACAATTGGCTGCCTAATTTTCAGCCAACTCAGGAATCTGTGAAAATACAGGTTCAAAGTTTCTACATCATTTAAGGTGATAAGGACACTCATAAGCATTGTAAAATTGACTGGAGAGTCATTTTAGTATTTATTAAAAGTAATTGGATTTTCTTACATAAAAACCCAGCATATTGTAGTAAGGTAAGGCGGATGCTATTTAAAACAAAATATAATAATTTGGCTCAAACTTTGCAATAGAAAGTCTTGAAGGCTCAGAGCTTTTACATTTCATAAAGCTGACACTATCTAATAATTCCAAGTTTAATTTCTTCCATGCAAAGCTTTTGAATTTTTGTCACTTAAAATATGAATTTTTCTGTTGGTGTGGCTTTTTGGAACAGCTAGATAGTAGTAATCACAAATTAAGATGAACAGAGTGACTATACAGTTTTCTAACAAGTTCATAACTCAACTAGCAATAGTTAGAAGACCATTTGTAAGTTTTGTGTGGTTTGGGAGCAGTATGCAAGACTTTTATCACAATATAATTTCTTGTGACATTTTTTGCTACTCAATGCCAAAAATTCATTTTAAAAAGGCTCAGAAAGCATTTAAATGGCAATAAAAGTATTGGATCATTTACAAAAGACTGCAATCATTAGGAAATATTATAGTTCTTAAAAAAATTTTTCCTGTTTGGTACTGCATGCAAGCCTGCAAAATAAGAAGGATAATAATTCCAAATTGTCCCATGCTCCAAATAGCTCCATGCACCCTACCTGACAGAATAATCAATTACCCCAAATTAATGATTCATTATGTAAATCCTTACCTAGTCAGTGCAGTCCTCAGAGTCAAAGGTCATGGCAGATAGTCGTCCTCAACAAGATAAGCCCTTTGCTAATTTATTGGAGAACTCTTCCCCAGTACCAGTTTGAGACCCATACAGAATCAATACTGTTTTCTCTTTTTTTTAGCCATGCTCAGAGAAAGAAGGAACCTATTATAGAAAAAGAGAGATTCATGAACAGCCATTATACAGAAACTTGATCCATAAAAAAAAATAGATATTGCCAATATTACCCAGATTTACCATTAGCTATACTATCTAAATTACCAACATACATTAACATATTAGTATTACCTACATTAACAATATTACTAACATTACTATTATATACCATTATGACCTATATTACTATTATTACCAGAGTTACCTACAAGCATGACTATTATTTTATCTGTACTCTAATATCTAACTAGATCTATTAGTTGTGTGTACTACAGTACAGACACATCTCTAGGCTTGAATTGTTTACATGATGAATAATATAATGACTGGACAAATTTATTTTAGTTACCTAAATGTATTAGGAGTCACTGATAGTTAGGGGTCAAAAAGCTGCAAAATATAAGACCATCATCACAAGCTGGCACCAAGTTGAAATAATTTAAAATTATCGTCTTTGATGTGGTTAAACACATATTTCTGTGAACCATTACATAATGTCAGATAATAATCTTTTTATTGTTAATTTTCAGTAAATCTATTCATGCTACTAGATCCAGATATTATGACTTCCACATGCATGAATGATACAGCTATGACTTGTCAATTTAATATTTTATCAACAAGTCACAAGTAAAATCATTGTGCATTTTAAAGTAGCTCATGAAAGTATGGTAAGCTCATGCTTCAGTTTTGTAAAATTATTAATTCTGGATATAGATCTAGCTCTAATAGCAATCTAGATTCTAACATGAAGCAGAGTTTTGATGTGTTTTGCTATTTTTTTACATAAAAATTATTTTTAGGCAACTAACTACAATGATAGTGTTGGCAAGTACTACATCTAGTACTTGTTCACAGTCCACACAATCATTGAAAACCTTAACATCCAAATTAAACACCCATGAACTCTTTGTGCAATCATGGAGCATTGTAGATGGATATACTAGTAATAAATGTAGCCTTGTGAGAAATAAGATCTAAAAACCTTGCAAACTTAAAGTAAAGAAGATTGTATTATAATAATTCTATAAAAAATTATAGTAAACTATCAAAGGGCTTATTATGTGTGATGAATCACACAAAATCACTACATTACTAAAACCAAGAGTAGACTCTTGCTAAAACTTATAAAATTCTAGTCAAAAAGCAAAATTAGTAAAATTTTATGGAGTGCAAGGATGTTCCCAGCATCTAAAGTTATCTTTTATTTTTTCACGTGATGCCACCTTTGAAAAGAAAAGTTATAATTGCAAGACTGGCTAGTAATAACTCACATCTGCATATTCTGTGTTGTAAGCTATCTGAATGCAAGCTCCCCATATATCCATACAAGACTTGTTCACTGCACCAGCAGTTATTGAACAATTTTTTGGACAACCTCTGAAAGTATTTGGGATTGGAAGTTCATTATAAGAATAATAGCATGCACTACAATGGGATAAGGCACATCCTCCTGGACATTCTTTAACACTACCAGGCAATGACGAAGGTCTGAATTGGAAGGATATGAATGAAGATCATGGCAATTAACTTACAGAGAACATATTTCTTTTCTATGAAAGGTACAATATTCAGGAGTACAAACCGGATAACAATCTATAAAAAATTATAAGGCTACATACATTGTAAGCAGTAAAAATACAAACAAGTGTTGTGCATTTATTTTATGTGCTTACTACTACATTTTTCTTCACATTCATGTTGAGTAGGGAAATTATTTTCATTAGGAAAGCAACCACTGTATCTAAACTCTTGACATGTCTCAGTAGTGTAATTATAATAGTAACTTGTTATACTAGCAGTACATGGCCCTGGCTGAGGATTTAATGTACATGGATCAACCTCTAAAAGATGGAATCAACCATAGCTAATTGTGTAAAATTATGCATTAATTTATTTACTGGGGCAATCATCAGGATGAACACATTGATTTTTCATTTCATCTATCAATTGACCCTCTGGACAAGAGCAGCCAGGCTTTTTATCACCACTGCACAATAGATAACGATTAGAACAAGTCTTTGGGCAGCTTGCTTCCTCTTTGTCATAAAACTGACCATCAATAGGACAATCTATGTACATACAATGCAATATAATAACAATAATTTCAGACATGGGGTCAATTAAAAAGTCTCAATTACAATTACACATTTTATTAGACTCATGAATTCCTCGCTGTTTGGCATATCATACACAACAACAATCTTTACTAGAATAAACAAAATGTTTCAGCCTGAAGGCCTTCACCAGCTCCTGATGAAGGCCTTCGGGCTGAAATGTTTTGTTTATTCTGGTAAAGATTGTGGTTGTG